ATGTTTTAAAAACTAGGACACTGTAAGTTTTTATGGTCTGAGACTGAGACAGAGAAAAAATTGCAAATAACCCAAAAGTAGTCTGCCAAGAATGGAATAGTGGTTCACTGGTTTTCAAATATGAGGTATAGTTGACTTACATATTTTAGAAGTTTACATTTTCTAAATAAATGGTTAAAATTAAGAAGATCTGCAGTTTGCCCCAAATCTGTAAGAGTTGCAGACTTAGAAAAGCAAGTGGCTTATGAGTGGGAGTAGCAAGTAGGAAGCAAAATTCTTAGTTAGTGTGTTAGGACTGATGGCAGGGAGTATCAAGAGAAAACAACCTTCCTTTCTCTCAGACTTGCCTCTTCCTTTCTATTTTTGTTGTGTTTGGTTTTACTTTCCTGTAAAAATATAATTTATTCTTAGCATCTTGATGGTATATTTAAAGTATGTTTGAAAGACACATGAAGTACTGCATTTAGTATGGACTAGATCTAATGCAGGAAATATTTTTTTCAGTCCTTTTACTCTTCCTGGAAGCATTCTTCAGTGATTACAAAATTTAAAATAAAATGCTTTGGAGCACTTTATGTTGCTCATGATAAATTTTAAAAGATTGCTGTCATGCTTAACCACCCATTTAACAAAAGAAACTTGTATAAAAACCGACAGGTAGAAACTTTTTCCTATCAATGTCTGTGACATCAGGTTAGAGGAACTGTGGAATGTGAGGTAGATGTGTAACCAAAGTTGTATTTTCCTTTCTCAGGAGAAAAAAGAGCAAGAGCCGAAGTCGAAGCCATGACAGGAAGAGGAGCAGAAGTAAGGAACGCAAACGGAGCCGAGATCGGGAAAGGAAGAAGAGCAGAAGCCGGGAAAGGAAACGGAGCAGAAGCAAAGAACGCAGACGCAGCCGTTCCAGAAGTAGAGATCGCAGATTCAGAGGCCGCTATAGAAGTCCCTAGTAGGTTATTTATGTAGAGTTGCATGTGTGCTGCTTCAGTGTATGATGTGGAAGCTTAAAGTTTCACTCTCTGCTTTCTAAATTGGTCACTAATAATCTCAAAAAAGATGGTGAGAGGTTAAGGTTGAAGAAATGAATCCATAAATATGGAGTCAAAAAGAGGAGGACACTAATGTATCCAGTTCCTCCTGCTAGTTTTCATTCTTATCCAAATGCAGAAAGATGCAAAAGCAAGCGAAAGAATTTGTACAACTGGCTGGAAAACAAAGTTTATCACAAAATTAAAATAATGAGCAAGTTCTCTACATTGTCCTAACTATCTTCAGTCTATGAACCTTGATGGTTTAACTGTCAAAAAATGAATAGTAGTCTGACTTTGGTTACAGGTGCATAAAAGCTTTCGCTTGTATTACTAAAGGCTTTTACTGGGTTACTGCTCTTAAACACTTGCCGCATAAACACTTCCTGCGTTTATGCATCCAAACCAGAAGTGTCTTGTCCTCATAATGCACATGCGTTGCATATTTGCCCTGCTTTTTCTCAGACTTGGTTAGAGGCTGTGGAAGAATTCTTCAGTTTCTCTCAGATCTTTGGCTTGATAGAACTTCTGCTTTAGGTAGTTCCTGACAGTTGTAAATCATTTCTCAAAAACCATTTTTTCATCGGTATTTATTCTCTGTTTCTGTTGGATTGTGTTCCTGCCCTGCTCTTTGCTCCCCATCACTTCTTTTTGCCTTCAAAGAAGCAGAAAAACAGTGAGAACTGGGCCATACGCTTGGCTTTCATTGATTACCTGAGGCTGCTGTTTGTGTCTGCTTTTGTCTGGGTCTCATCTCAACTGTTGTGCAATCTCAGAATGCAAGATCATATCAGAAGCAGGCATTTGAAAAGGACGTATTTTTTAATCGTGGCATGTAATGTATCTGTGATGGAGAAATCTCTCTCAAGATCTTTGAGAAGACAGTATTTAGCTTCTGATGAATTGCAGGCTTGTACAGTTTTCTGCACATGAATGTTTTTCTAGGTGGCTGGGTCCCAATCCAGGGAATGCGTTCCCTGCATTCCTTTTGCTACTCTTGGAATGCAAACAAAAAATGCCTGAGGTCTCAGGGTCTCATTTTGCACTAAGTCACCTGGATGTTGGCATTTTCATAATGAAAACGTGCTGAAGTGCTGGCTCTGCTAAGATGCAGTGGCATCCTGTGCTTCCATCAGTCCTGTGGACTTGGGGATTGTAGAGCGTATCAACCCTGCTTTTACTTTGTCTCAAGTATCAGGCCTGTCAAACTCTGTGAAGCTGCTCTGGGCTTCAGCTCTGAAGATTTCAGCTGTGCACAGTTGGCATGTTTTCTACAGCTCTTTGGCACCTGTAAGATTACAGTAGCTAGTTGGATTGTGCCAGTGCCACCGTTGTGGCTGCACAGTGCCTCATAAACAGAGGACCTTGATGAAGATCTTCAGCCTTCTGTATGTGGAACCTGCCAGTCTTCTCACCTCTAGTGTGGTGTTGCGTGGAGAGGATGTCCTTCATCTTATCACTTGGTTGGGAATTGTTGCATTCTCCTAGCTGCATCGGAGGGTTTTGTTCTTTGTTTTTCCTGTCATTACTGGCTGAGAAGGTTCTTCACCTGGAGAAATTTGGGAGTTTAAGTGTTCAAGTCTTCCAAAATAATTTCTTCAAGTGGAGGTTGAAGTATGGACATTACTACAATAACCAATGGCTGTTTTAATGCATCAAGATATGTTGTGCCAGGAAGGTAAATGATTGTGAAGGGTCTTTTTTGTTGTTCTGATATTCTTCATAGCTGCTCCGGCCAGTTTCTCTGGTATTGAGAGACAGTGAACAAACAGCTGAGATAATCTAGCATCCCCTGAGGTTATGAGGTTGTGCTTACTGCTTTGGCAGTGTTGTGTTCTCTGCTTCAGTTGCTGAATTGTTGCTTTCATTTAACCAAGTAGAATTTTAGCGTTTAAAATAGTTTAGTGGAAGACTGGTATAGCGCAACTACAGGCATCCCAGAGGCATTGGTACTGACTGTTGTGTAGCCAGCAGTTGGCTGTTGTTCACTTGATGCTGTTGAAGTGATACACGTGCTAATGTGATTCCAGAATTCTAGTTTTGGCTCAGAAGGTGTGAAAGAGAAGGACCTGAGAGGGTATGAGGGAGAAGAACTCTTCGTTTCCTGTTCAGGACTCTGCAGTTCAGAGACTCACCTTTAAAAGCTGTATAACAGGCGCTGGCTTTCAGGGAGACACAAGTTCTGGAGATGAAGCCTCCTGCATCACCAGCCTCCTTTGGATTGGATACCTTTGGATTTACCGAAAATGGTGCTTCCATATGAAGAAACCCTCTCTGTAGCAGTGCCATCAGCTCAGCATTTCAAAAGTAACTACCAGAATGCTCTCGTTGGCTGGAGAATTTGAATCTGGAATCTCACCTTGTGGGGCTGTTCAGAGAGTTCCGAGTTGGTGTTACTGCAGGCAGTGTTGTAGCCAACTGCAACATCCAGTTTAAAATGCATTGTGGCTGTTTTTTCTATTTTAATTATTTTTTTACTCTTCTTCCTCCTTGTGATCTTTCTCATTGGCTTTGTAAAGGCCCCTTTTCAAGCTGGAGTCTCAAAACAGATGTTTTTGCTGCCGGGGGTGATGTGGAAGCATCTCTGCAGTAGTGAGAAGAGAAAGTCTAGTATAGGTAATTCTGAAGGAAGAGAAGAGTGTGCCACACAGAACCTGAGGACTTCGAATTTGTCATCTTTAAGCATGAGATAGCGATTAAATATTTTAATTTTTTGAAATTGGGTGACTGGCTTTCATTGCGTAGTGTTCACAGGGTTTTTTAATGTTACTCTTCTCACATATCTTGCCCCTTAAGTGTTTTACAGTTACATTATTACGTCTCGTAGGAGAAAGAACTTGACAAGTATTCTTGCTTAGACATTTGTCTGACAAATCCCAGCTACTGCTAATGTAGCATAGAAGTAGCTTAGGCTGTCCTGTTGCTATTCTGGAACCAAATATTTGGGCAAAACTGCTGGGAAAACGGTTATTACATGAGGACTGGAAGTTCATTGTGATTCTCCTGGAATTTGTTAGCCAAATCTTGCCTTGTCTGAGTCTCTTTTGTTGAAGTCTTGGAAATGACTGAGCAGATGAAAGCTGCTATTTTACTGGCTATCTTCTGACCTGACTGTCGTTCTTGGGCCATCTGGCAGGTACCTAGCTGTCCTTTAGCTACGCATAGGACTTAGTGCATTTGGCTTATGGCATATGTCTAGGTAACCCCTAGACATAAATTGCTTGTGACTTGGTGCTTCATACATGATGGCAGGAGCCGGGCAACAATTGCAAAGAGTTCTTATGCAGTAGGAGGAAAGAAGAAAATTCCCCTGAGATTTACAGCTTTACAAGCAAGTCTCCTTAGAAAAACCCAAAGAAGTGCATCCCGCAGAATACTGTTGAAAAAGGATCTTCAGAAGGTAACTTGGGCCATCACCTTGCCCCAGACAGCTTTCTGTTCAGTCCATTCCAGTGGTCTGTTACGGCTTTAGTTTGCTGGGGTTTTTAGTGTTTCTCCTATGTGGTCATGTAAATAAGATACTACTTATTTGTCAAGAGTGAAAATGGAAAAGAGATTTTTTGAGTTGTGGGTGGTTTTTTTCCTCTCAGAAGCTGTGCATGCATTTGAAAACTATTACTGTGTATCTTCTCTCTTGTTTTTTTTTTTTAAGTTTAGACAAACACTTAAAACATTTCTTTCACTGTTTCCTTAAAAACTCATGGTCTTGAGTGTTGACCATCTAGTTGGTCTGTATGTTAATATTCTGGAGTTACTGTAATCTGTTTGTCTTGCTGCATTTGAATTGAAATGGAGAACACCAAGTTCTACGTCAGGAGGTGTGAAGATGCAAGGTAATCCCATCTGTGATAAGAAGCCAGGCTCTGGAATTATTACCAACACTTCCAGATGCAGCTTTTGGCAGTATGTGTCATAGACATTGGAGAACCTGAATGGATGCTCTCAGCAGCCATTTGTCTGAACTTGAGGAGGAAATGGAGTATTTTATCCTAGGCAAAAAAAGAAAGTCTGTTTTTGATCGATAGTGATCTCATCTCAACATGTGCCTGTTTTTTATGTCTTATTTTCTCTTAATAAGTAGATTCTAAATGGTCTCTTCTCTTTATTTTTTTTCCAGTGTTATACAGGGCCATATTTCCCTTGCTTTAACCTGGCCAGCACGGTTTTGGATCTTGGCCCACTACCTCTACCTGTGTCATGACATGTTTAAAAATGGGCATCCTCCTCCTTGTGGATGCTGAGTTTAACTATAAGCATTACTGCTCCACTGAGTAGCAAGAAGACATTTATCAGACAAATTGGTTGGCTAAATGGATTTAGTGAAAGACTATTTAATGTCTTCAGACTGCCGTGTCTTTCAGGGTGTTTTCACATCAATTTATAGCCACAGCAGAAAGAATCAGTTCTGTGCAGATGGAAAGACAAACCCCCTAGCATTCAGTCTGTGCAGCAGTGCCTCTGCCGTTCGGTGGATATACAGGAAGAACGTTAACAGGTGTTGTTCTTTTCCTTGTATCTACAAGGAGATCAAGTTCAGGGAGAACATGATAGGATTAATTTTACTGTTTCGTGTCACAGTCTGTTACCCTGTGCCACAATAACTAGCAAGAGGACTGTCCTTAACGTAGAAGCAAGGGGCAGATTGCCATTTGTTCTAACAGCCTCTGTGAAGCCTGGAGAACTAAAATTAGATTCAGCCAAGAGACTGGATTTCTTCTGTGGTGACATGTCTATATAAGGTTAACTGCTGGCTTAAATGGTTCTGTGTTTTGATGTCCATTAAGAACTTTACTTAAAGGAGGCTGCATTTACATATTTGTAGTGCTTTAGTGGCTACAGCTGAGACAAAATCAGTGATTGTGTCCCTTGCAGATGCCTGCAGGGAGCTACTTTGGTTTCCACTCGCACCTTAAATTTAATGAAAATTTTGGTTTTAAAATGTTGCACTTGAGCAAATAGTCCTGCCAGCACCACTTTGCTCAAAAGTCTGAGGCTGAGTTCCAGGCCGTTAAGGTACTGCTTTGCAGTCGTAGGTAGAATATGCATGTGGACAAAAAAACCACATAAAGAAGATTGCAACAGTAACTGTAGCTCAGAATATTTTGCACATAGAAACATGCCATGTCTGGCTGGCTCATGATTCAGTTCTTCCTTGGAGCCCTGCATATTCTGGGATTTTGCTATGCAAATGAAACTGAGCAGGGAGCATATTCTGTGCCTTAGGGTTTGGAGTGCTGCACGTAGCTTATGCATGCTATGGGTGCTGCTAATGGAAAATGTTTACAAGTTCAGGTGCAAGGGTGGGTGAGCATTTGCAATGGAATGTGAGTACAGATGGGAAATCTTGAATTCAGGTACTCTGGTGAGTAATGTCTGTCTTTGCTTTTGCCGTAGTTCTGGTCCAAAATTCAACAGTGCCATCAGAGGGAAGATTGGTCTGCCTCACAGCATCAAATTAAGGTTTCTGAGTTTTCTCTACTTTTATTGCATTATTAATAAGTTTTGTTTAGAATCAGACTGGTATATTTGAATGTTTTCTTATAATATTGTTGATATCTCTTTATAGCAGACGACGCTCCAGAAGCAAAAGTCCCTTCAGAAAAGACAAGAGCCCTGTTAGGTATGAATTTTTACACACGTTTGGGGTTGGTGTTTTTTTTTTGGTCCAATTGAAGTTGGAAAAGAAATGGTGAAATAATGCATGACTACTTGCTCTCCAGCTTATACTCACAAATAATGCTGGAATTCATTCAGAAAGGCCATGAGAGGAGAGCATTGAAAATACGTTGCTTTCTTCTCATGTCCTGAACTATCTCTCCCCCTGCCAATACCAGTGTACAATTGTAAACAATGTCAGCTTGCAAAACATCTCTTGCTTTGCTTTCTGTGTTCTCAATCTGTGTTTCTGTGTTTCTGTGTTCTCAATCTTTTTCCTGTTAATTGCGATTTAAATTAGCTAGCTTTTCTGCTAAATCGTACTTAATAATCTTAAGTACCGAATGGAAAAGTACTGTACAAATACTTTTTCCTATTCAGTATGTATTGATGTTATTCAGAGCCAGGTACCTCTGAAATCCAGGAGGTGCTTATCCATTCTTAGGCTTCTCATTTAAGGGAATTGGATTGAGATAGCTGCTAATGAGATTATTCTCTAAATTAATGCAGTTAAATTTAACCAATCTTGCTTTATTTTTTTAATTATTAGTAAACTCTTACTGAGATAATTTGGTTTAAATTTTTCTTGTGTATTCTCAGTGTTTTTTTAAAAAACTGTTAATAAAAATATAAATACATATTACATGACTGGAAACTCATTCTAGGATCTGGCATGCTAATTCTGTCCTGTACTTAAGTACAAGTCAGATTTTTTTTAGATTTGAAGCTTTAACAACCTTGGAAGTGGTGCATCTAATTTCAGCTAGTGATCAATATTGAAATAAAATTAATCTAGTGCTTCTGGTGTTAGGGATGAGAGTAATTATTCACTATTCATACTTTTTTATGGGTTAACAAGCTGAAACTATAAAATGAGGACTGGGAATTCTGTTTGTATGGATGTCAGTATTGTTTATGCAGAGGCTGTAGTGACTCTGAAGTGACTGGGTAGATGTAAGATTTTTAGATTGCAAAGCCACAAAAAAATTTTGTACTACTTGTCTGAGAGTTCAGACAGCTAGTCTGTGCTAATTAATCCTGTTTTCCTTTGTTTTCCTGTTCTTTCCATCTCATCTTTTTGACTGCAAGCTCCCTAGTGGTACCGTTACATGTTCTGGACAGTAGCAGAATGGCACCTCTGTTTAGTTGGGGCTTCTGTACTTAAAATACAATTTTCCAGTCATATTTAATGCTTACAGTTGAAACAGGATGTTTAGTCATGATGAAGTAGTAAATATATTATATTAGTTCAGTTCTTGACCCTGACTTTTTTAATATGGCAGGCATTTTTTTCCCCATCAGACTGTGAAGTACTGATTATTTAAAGTTTCATGCATGGTCCAGAGATCAGTTATCTTAATTCCGATTTTTTTTTTTACCCAAACTTTCCTCTTTCCAGAGAACCTATTGATAATCTTACCCCTGAAGAGAGGGATGCTCGAACAGTATTCTGCATGCAGCTGGCTGCAAGAATTCGACCGAGAGACCTGGAAGAATTTTTCTCTACAGTAGGGAAGGTAATTAATAGGGAGGTTAAAATTATTCTTCCTTAAGCTGTCCTTGTCCAGGATTGGTATTCTGCAGAATTGTAAGCAAGTGGCTTTCTGGAGCTATGTATACAGATGAAAGGGGGGGTGTAAATGATGACCAACTAATTCTTAAAGGCTCTGAACATGAAAACGTAATGTATCAGGAGTTCATTGTTCAGCATGCGGTGTGATGCAAAACATGGCAATGTAATTCTTATTCAAACAACTTCATTTTTCAGACGTTTCATTCTTTTGCAGATAGGTGTGCCAGTTATAGTGTAATCTAAAAGTTAGTTTAACTTTTAATTTTGAAAAACTTTGTTCCATCAGCTGTAAGGTTCTGGCTTAAAGCACTGCAGTGGTACAAGTATTCTATTGCCCCGGCTCCTGTAGTGTACTACATTTTGACTTTGAATGGCAGCTTTTAACGCTAGGTTACCTCTGGGATATGTTTGTTAAGATAGCTTTACACTACTCTAGATTTGCAGCATAATTACAAATCCATTGGCTTGGCAAATAATTGTCTGGTTATTAATACCTTTCTGAGAAATGGACAGTATTAGTTTTTTTCCTTTATCTCTAACAGCATCTGTACTTGCCTTCCAGGTTCGTGATGTGCGAATGATTTCAGATAGAAATTCCAGGCGTTCAAAGGGAATTGCTTATGTAGAATTTGTTGATGTTAGTTCAGTGCCTCTGGCAATAGGACTAACTGGACAGAGAGTCTTGGGTGTACCAATCATAGTACAAGCATCACAGGTAAGGAGTTGTAAACCTCGTTTTTATTCATGTTGAGTGGTGCCTCTTATCTTGCTGGAAAACTTACTGTTTGAAAATTTGGTTACCATAGAATGTTTGGAAGGCTTTAACAAGAATAATTATTTAAGCTAATTGTAAGTGGACCTTCGTTTCCCATAGTTGACAGGCAAATTAAAGCAATTGAAAGTGATATAAATGCGTTTTGAAAATGCAGATGTTAAAGTAGTAATAATGAAACTTGTAACAGTGTTATAGAATTGTAGTGTGCGTTATATATGCTTTCCAGCATGTGTAAAAAGTAAAGTGTTAATTTACTAGATGCAAGCCAGAATTCTGCATGAAGTTGTTCAGTTTGAAGGGTTTTGAAAGCTGTGTCTCTACTTGGTTGTGGTCTTGGATTGTGTGGATTTTAAGTTAAAGCCTGATGGATAGTATGCAGATTATAAAACAGCTTGTATTTTTTGGTGAATCTGCTAGTTTTAAATCTGGTAGAGGTATACTGCTTATGTTAGGGTTTTTTATTAAATTCTTACAGAAGGTGATTTTTTTCTTTTTCCTTTTCTTAGGCAGAGAAAAACAGAGCAGCAGCAATGGCAAATAATCTGCAGAAAGGCAGTGCTGGTCCTATGAGGCTCTATGTGGGATCATTACACTTCAACATAACTGAAGATATGCTTCGAGGAATTTTTGAGCCATTTGGCAGGGTAAATTTTAATTTGTCTTGTTGTGTTATGGTTGGTTAGTTGTAGAGCACTCACAGCTTCTGGAAATAATTCAGATTCACACCTGCAAAATATTTGTTTCTTGTTGCTCTTCTGTGCCTGTGCATCCACGAAGCTTTACATACATAGTTAGTACTGGAGAACAAATGAGAATTTTGATTTGTGATGTGGTCCAGTGATTTTGAATGGCAGGTCTTATGAAGGAAAGCTGAGAATTCAATTACAAAACAAAAATAACCCCACCAAACAAAATCCCTGTGTTACCCTGCTTCGGCAGCTTGTATATATCTTTCCCCCTGCCCCATGGTTGTGAATGGGGGCCCCATTTCACAGCTTAAAGCACAGAATCAGGTCTGAGTTCTGTTCACTGTGAATGTAGTAGTTTCATTTGTTTCTGAGGATTTTTGCTTAGCTTTTAGCTCACGTTACTACCATGAACTAGTGGTGTGTCCTGTACAGCTCTGGCACAGGCCCCTTTTCACTCCTGATCATTAGGCCCCAGCTTGCAGCATGGTAGTATGTTCTTGTAGAGAGTTATGGAAGTGAGCAGATAGAATCTGAAGTTTCCAGTGGAGTCATAGTAAATGTTAGCCCTACTGTGCTAACTAAGGTATCACGGGTTATACCATTATTAGGTAGGGAAAAAGTAATACAGTTAATATGCTGCCTAATGGGAAAAAAAAAAAAATGATCAAGTCCATTGATGTTTTTTTGTATTATTGTTGGGTATTAACCCTGCCTCATACATCTGCAACAGTACTTTTCAGGTGCTTTATTCAGATTCACTATGAGTATCCCTTTAATTCTGTTGTGCAAAAGCCTGGAAAATTGCAGCAATTTATTAAATTTTAATCCACATGGCTGTTCTTGTTTTGTTTTCTTTCAAGGTCTGGCAGTAGGATTAATGTAGTTTAGGAGGCTTACATGTAGAGCTCTGAAGGTTTTTCCTTCTCCTGATTCCATAGACTCCAGTCTTAAACTCAGTTCTTCCTCTTACTTTGGTGTTGCTCTCTCTTCCTGACACTGTTTTATGGCTCATGGATGACTCACTAACATGTTTTCAATTCAGTAACTGTAAACTTCTAGGAGTTCCCATATCCCAATAATTACTTAAAATATGTGCCTTTTTCTTAAAGCCCTTGGTCAAAGTCACACAAACTGCTTTTCTTACCTTGTAAAATGGAGTTTCTCAGCATATGAGATGCCACGACTATTATTTTTCAGTTAGGATTTGATCATGTCTGCAGGCTCATTGTCTGCTAGAATGTTGCATCAAAACCAAGCCTCTGCCTGTAGCTGGACTCAACTTAAAGGATAAATTGTACATCACCCTTATGTTTTCCTGCTTCTCTTTAGTATCAAAGTATGTATCTAACTGCCTGTACACCAATTTTGACTTGAGGAAGGAATGAGGAACTGATACAAAACAAAAAGTAGTGGTTTCACATTCATATATGTGTATTTGGCAGGGCTGTATTCAGGTTTTGTTTTTATATCTCGTGGTTTGTTCCAAAATGTCTGATAATAAATAGCTTTATTCTTATTTGTAGATTGAAAGCATCCAGCTGATGATGGATAGTGAAACTGGACGATCAAAAGGATATGGATTTATTACGGTACGGCTAGAATTGCCAGACTTCTTAGACTTCTGAGTGTAACCTTCCCATGTAGTAGTATAGCTTACTCAGCAATCTCTGTTAAGTTTCATCTTGGAAATGTCGTGTTGCAGGACATGCAACAATGGCCTTTGTTTCTGCCAGTTCTCTCTGGATATTGTGGTTGAACAATGCACATGCTTAGAATGCAATAGTATATTTTGTAGTCAGCGCTTGGTAAAGCAATGCTGTCTTCTGCAGGCAAAGCTACTAGTGAAGACTGGCATTTTCATAGTGCTGATTTTCATGATTGAATTTGATTTCATTGATTGAATTTGAGCTTTTTAGGGGAAAGGAAATGTTAGAGGCTAAAACTTTCAGTTGAAAGCATCTTTCCTCTTTACCCTCAGATACATAATTTTGTGACCTTGGGTTTCTTGACTGACCTGGCAATTTGTCATGGAAAAAAAAAGTCTTGGCTGGGACCTCTGGCACTTGGAGACAAATGAAACTGAACTGACTATGTAGCTAGTATTTGATGGTTTTAACACTGACAGAATATTTGTATATTTAATTTGATGTTATGCAGCATGAAGCAGAACATCTGTTACGAATAGCCAGTAAGTGCATGGCAGTTACAAGGCTACAAAGGAGGTGACTGTCATTCTTCGAAAGTGTTGAAAGAGAACTGCAGCCATGACTTCTGTTGATTGCACTATGTAGATACTCTAGCTTCAACAATGATATTTATTTAAATATAGTCTTATCTAAATATGAGACAGTAAATATCCAAACTCATAGAATCATTTAGGTTGGAAAAGACCTTTAAGATCATCCAGTCCAACCATTAACCTAACATTACCAAGTCAACCACTAAACCAGTTAAGGGTATAGTAGCAATTTCATGTTTCCTGGCTTGTTCAGTTTAAACAGAAAATATGGAGCACATTTAAGTTAGCTTGTAGCTATTGTTATCTTAAATTTAGTGTTTCTCATGTTTATGTAACTGTGGATATTACCTACAGTAGAAATGTTGCTGAATCCTGTAGGCAGTGTTACTGAGTTTATATTTTTCCACTCTACAGTTCTCAGACTCTGAGTGTGCCAAAAAGGCCTTGGAACAACTCAATGGATTTGAGCTGGCTGGTAGGCCAATGAAAGTTGGACATGTAACTGAGCGCACTGATGCTTCCAGTGCTAGTTCCTTTTTGGACAGCGATGAGTTGGAACGGACTGGAATTGACTTGGGAACAACTGGTCGCCTTCAGTTGATGGCAAGACTTGCAGAAGGTATGTGTGATTAATAGGAAATGTGTGAAAACACAGAAGTTCACAGACTTTGAATTAATACACCCCACAGAGTATTATGCTAAATGCATGGAATGGTATTTTTAAGTGTTTCACAACAGTAAGATTTCTGATAACTTCTGTTACTGCATGCATCCCTGAGTGAAAACTGCTTGCTACAAGGTACGTTCATATTCTGTTCTAGGTACTGGTTTGCAGATTCCCCCGGCTGCACAGCAGGCTCTGCAGATGAGTGGATCTTTGGCATTTGGAGCTGTGGCAGGTAAGAAATGACAACCTACTTATTTTTCAAAAATACTTTATGCTTTTTTAGTTTTGAGACAAGAAGTACTTAACTACATTTTGTGATCATTTAAAATGAGAACCTAGGTATTACAGCATGTTTTATAAACTGTAAAACGTTGCAAATCCATGAGCAAATAAACAGTGACAGTATATGACAGCTTTGGGCACGATTCACTTTGCCTTATTTTTGGCAATCTGTTGTAGTTCACTTAATTTCATCCCAAGCCTTCATCTCTCTATCTGTACTATTCCCTGTACTAATGGGGACTTTTATGTTCTACTGCAGTGTAAATGTTGACTGTTAAAAGTGGCATGCTCATAACCGGAATTGACCCTTCCGAAAAAAGAGCTGTACCAGGAGCAAGAAGGTTATTAGGTCTTTATGGGGGACACGACAACTAGGACTAAAGTACTGTTAGGTTTATACAGTGTATGTCCTGGTGAGGAAGGACACTGTAAATGAGGGAATTTGTGTGTTGCTTGGAATTGGCTATAGTTTGTGTGTTCTGCAAGTGGGTATGTTGGAAGTGTTACTGAGACTTTATTTTGTTGTGAGAAGGAATGAGGCTTGAGGATGTGATTGGTGCTGCTGCTAGTTCATAGCTGGCCTAAACAACAAACTGTTCAAGAGGACTTCAGAATTAGAGCAATGAGTAGCCTCCCACAGGAGATTAGGAATTTAGAGTGGAATTTATTATTGTTACTATTTTTCATTAATACAAGAGCAAAGGGCATGAACCTGTCAGTGCAGTAGAAAAGACTTGAATATCACAAATAACTAGATGCTGGAATGTGTGAGAAGTGTCAGGAAATCAAGAAAGAATAGGTGGCATTGTTTTGTTTGTCTCCCAGCAGTGTTCAACAGAAGTGATTCAGACTTAAGATACACCTGAATCATGTTACTGAAGTTAAGGTGCAGTTTTGAGAAGAGCATACACATGAAACTAGACAGCTGCTAAAAGAATGTAATAGGGTCTTTCTATAGATACACCCTTGGAAGGAAAGGCCACTGGCTAGTGAAAGAAAAATGTGGGTTGAGGAGTAAGGGGTTCTTTTTCTATTTGAGAAGAAAAAGATGAAAAAGATACAGTGCCAGGGAAAAAGCATATCTAGTCCAGAAAGAAAAGGAAAGGTAAACAATGCTAAAATTAGATTACCTTTAATATAGGTGATAAAGTGGTGTGGCAGTCTTGCTTGGAAACAGGTGTAGTCAATGAGAAATGAGAGAATTATTTTTAAGAAACACCAATCCTTTCCCCACCCCCATATTTGAAACAAACAAGCCAAAGAAATCCAAACTCCCCAAGTCAGGAACACAGCCAAAAATATCTGACACAGCTGAACTGTTAGGATAGCATGAAATCAGTACAAGACAGTGTGGCTGTGGAGGAATAAATGATAAGGCTGAATACAGGTTTCTGAAGAATGTGCACATTTAGTAACTGTAGAAATAGAAGTGGTAGGAGTAGCATTGTTTATTCCACTTGTATTGTACAAAAGGAATAACGCAGACATGTGCAAGTAACTTTGGAAAAAGATAAAGCTTTTTGGTACCATAGAGTCATGAGCTATCCCCAAAGTGAGATTTGGTTATGGATTAAAGATCTCTTTACTCTTGTTAGAGAAAATTACTACCAGGAATTATGTCATTATGGGAGACTTTAACTTCCCTGATACAGATTGGAGAAGAATTGCTAGTAATAATGGTGGGGCCCAGATATTCCTGGATGTGATATCCGACAAATTTCTTCATCAAACACTCACTGACTCATGAAGAGGGGATGCTATTTTAAACTCAATTTGGTAAGTAATGAAGATGTTATGGATGAGAATAGAAGTGACCATTGACTTGAGGGGTCATGAGTTGCTCAAGTTTAAATGGAAGGATAAACAAAATAGGTCTGTAACTAAGGCTTCTGATGTCAAAAGCGGTGGTTGAAGAAACAAGGAAATAAAGTCATCTGGTCTAAGCAAGTTGGGTGTTTGAACAGGCAGGATGTGAAAAGTTTCTTCAGTTCCAAACTGCTAATGCTATATTGGATCCGTGTTCCACAGAAAGAAGAAACAGTCCTGTTAGAAATGGGCTCCACACTGAACTGGGTGATTAACTACTTCAAAAGAAATAAGGGATAAGTACAGAGCTTATGAAGAATATGAAAAAGGACTGGTAATATTTTAGATTGGGAAATAGATAAAATTAATTACCTGCCAACAGTCAGATTGAGTCAGACCTTGTAAAAGACATGAAAGCATAGATGAAGATTTACCAACTTTTGAAGAGAACAAAAAGCAGGGCTGAGGTTGAATGAAAAAAATACTCCCAAGATGTTTCAAAAAAATCTCATTGCCTCAGTTTGAGGTGGGGACACTGATCATAAAGTTTGGAATTTGAGGAAGGTAAGCTAGGAATATGGATTAAAAAAAAAGAAAATTACTTGCAAGGCAGAAGCAAAGCTAAAAGAAAGAGCTGAATGTACTTTTCAGAGTAGTAACAAAACTCCCATCAAATTAGTGAGGGAATAGGTACATGAAATATGAGGTCTGATATCTGGTATTGTCAAAAAATATTTTAAGTCTGTGATACAATATATAGCTGGAACATCTAATTCTAAATTACCTACACTTAAAAGGAAGGAAGAATATAGTCTGGCAGGTCTGACTTCACTTCTCTCCTTCAAAAGTCATACTAAAGATGGGTAAACTGGAGAATATTATTAAAGTATAGCATACTTTCAGAGAAACTGCGTTTAAAGACTAACAATCTTCAATAAAACTGACTTTCCTAGACAGAGGTGCAGTAGTAGAACTCTTCTTTCTGAACTTTTGACTTGTGTCATTTGGAAGTTATTAAACTAGAGAAGTGGGTAGTACAGGAAGTACGAGATGTGTAAAGAAGCTGGTTCAAAGAAAGGGATTTTTTTCAGGTGAAAGCTAGGAAGGTTAGAGGCTGTTGCTGAAGCCAAAGTTCAGATGTTGGGCTGATCTTGCTTAATATGTACATGAATAACAATGATCAAGAGTAGGAGTGAGGTGAGTCAATACAGAGGTGCTGTCAATAAGGGATTCTTGGGGTGTTGTACATTGTTCACCTGTTCAGGATTGAAACAAATTCTAGTTATATAGCCTGGGAGCTTAGCAGTGAAAGATGGCCAAGGAGGAGGAAAATACCTAAATACTCCAGTTCGTCAGTGAGTGAATATGAACTGTCAGCATGATGCGTTTTTGAAAGGGCGGCTATGTTCCTAGAGGTAGCATACTTGAGGATGTGAGATGTAACATACACATTCGTGAACAGTTCTGGTCACCTGTGTTCAAGGTGGGTTGAATCAAATTAAAATAGGAAAGCTAAAGAATTAGTTCTACGGGAGACCTGAGAATGTGTTAATTCCCATGGAGAAAATTCCAGCAGGGAAAAGAATTGAAGCTAAACAGTTATAGCTGTGTCCTTCCTGTTGTCTGGTAAATTCTGTCTGAAAATCTGAAATTTAAATAACCATGAGGCTATAGAAAATTCTTCTAATGCTTTGTGAGACAAAGCATTCCTTTTGGGAAGGAACTATCTCTTTATGAAAAAGATTGAGATAAGTGTGCTGCAGTAGAGTGATGAACAGGTGTTGTCATCCAGGACCTCTATTTGATCTGCTGTTGCAAGATTACTTAGAAAATTGGGGAATACTTGGCAGGCTTTTTTTTATTATTTAAAGCTAGCTCTGTTTCAAAATAAACATGCAACTTCATTTTGTTGTAAGACACAATGCTTTGATAGATGCTTCTGTGTTTCTGCTTTCTCTGTAGTAAGCATGTACTTAGTCACGCTGAACTCGCTACTCTTGGAGATCATATATGCAAAACACTGAAAAAGTTACTTTGATCTTAACTTGACAGACATATTAATCTTAGTTTCCACATACTATTTAAAACTGCGTGTAG